CGTAATAGTGCTACTACTACTGAGGAAAGACGAGAAAAACAGATCATTTGGTGCCTTGTACTCCACTATCCAAGACAGACTCAGCCTTAGGGTGAAAGGGTACGGAAAGTCATGCCCCGCAAGTGGAACTAGAAAACGGGCATTGCCATTCTAACGTCAGACAAAGTTGCTATCAAGAGAAAAGGAAGCGCTCACTGCGACAAGAAGATATATTCGAAACACTGAATGTCAGCGCATCCAGTTTTATAAAACACTCAATACAAAGAAACAGGTTAACCCCAGCAAAATAATAAGTGGGTGACTTCAGTATTCTACTCTCAGCAATAAATACCTCCTCTAACAAAATGTGAACAAAGAATCATCTGAGTTAAATGGCATCAAAGGTCAGAGACCTCACAGACATCTACAGAAATTCCATGTAAACATTGCAGATATACATTGTCACAAGCCAATGAAACATTTTCTATAGCAGGACTCAAAGCATATCTTAACAAATGTATAAAAATTGAAATAATTTCTTATATTCTATTAGCCCACAATAGAATAAAACTACAGATCAACAGCAAGAGAAACTAAAGAGCATGCACAAACTCATGGAGATTGAACAACACACAAAACATTCCTGAATCAAGCGAGATGAAAGCGCAGCACACCCAGACCCTGTAATACAGTGAGAGTGGTCCCACAGGGGCTACGACTTAAGATGCTTACACAAAACGAGACAAGCAAAGGCAGGAGGATCACCACATGTTCAAGGTCAGGCTGGTCTACATGGCAAGTGCTAGGCTAACCAGGGCCACACAGTTGAGACCATATCTCAAAAATAAAATGAAAACCAGATTTCAACAGTGATGGACCTTAGGGCCTTGAAAAAGCAACCCAAAGTCAAAATCAGGAAGTGGAAAGAAGGAATTCAGTAGTGCAGAAATTAAGGAAGTGGGAATAAACAAGAATCATTGACTTTAATCAATTAAAGAATTAGAAAAATACCAAAATAAAAAATCCCTAGTCAAACTAGCCAAAAATAAAAATGGGGAATGGGGGAGAAGCCAAAACTAATAAAATTGGACATTGAAAGAGGAGCATTGAGTAGAGCATGGTGGTGCATTTCTTTAATCCTAGCACTATGGAGGCAGAGGCAGGCATATTGCTGTTAGTTCAAGGCCAGCCTGATCTACAGAGTGAGTCCAGGACAGCCAAGAAACCCTGTCTCAAAACAACAACAATAAATAAATAAATAAATAAATAGATAAATAAATAAAATGAGCATTACCATAGATACAAATAGAATTCAGAAAATAATTAGAACATACCTTAAAAAATTGGGAAATATAAAGGAAATGGGTAAAGTGCTAGATATGTATGATAAACCAAAGTTAAACTAAAATGAGATAAGCATGTTTTTTTAATAAGCAAGGATAAAGAAACATAAATAAAATCAGTTAAAGAGTCCAGACCCAGATGGAGTCACTGGTGACCTCTCCC